GTACCCAGGATCAAAACGTTTGGTTCCAGATTATGGGATTTTAATATTTCTGAAATAATGTCGCCTTCAAACATTATATAAACAGGTACAGAGTAGAATACGAGCCCATTTCAGTTAAACCCTGAAGAAGCCATCAGAATGATTGGGAAAATGTCTTAGAGCACCTCCACTCGCATTTTCTCATGAAGTATGATTCACGTTGAGAGTCCTATTAAAAATTCTGGAGATCTAAATAGGTTTCTTTTTACAAATTTGATATATGGAGTTCGGCAAAAAAAAAATTTCTGCAGACAAACACCGCTTCTGATGTTATTCTACATTTAGTTAGTTAACAATAACTATAATTAGAAGCTAAAATATGCTCAAAAACATTTCGAATTTAATTTTCTACAAGAAAAATTGAAGCTTTTGTTTAATTAGAAAGTATAATTTTGTATATGTAATGTTATTCAGCACAGAAAATGTCATGTCCATCAACCGGAGACGGACAAAAAGAAAACACCATAACTTTCCTTCATGGACGATTAAAAAATAACCAAATCTTAATCCCGACCAGTTTGAAATAAATTGACATAGTTTAGGTAAGAACAAAACTCTACAATGGTGCGTAAATATGCCTTTCTCGGAATCGCATTAAACATATTCCCGAAAACTTAAGTACACACAAAGGGAATTTAAGTGTCAACCTACAGTCTCCGTAATATTTAATTATTCCCAAGAGAACAGTTACTTCGCCGGTTCTAAAACAAAACTATAAGGATGAAAATGTAAATTATGTATCCCCCTGCGTATAGTCGGAGCGGAACTTACAATTCCATAAGCGGTGTAGTTTCGCTTATACAGCGCAATATGCATGTCAAACGAAGTGACGGGCTTACCGATATTGCTTGTGCTTTGGCATCACGGTCTCGATGCGCCTTCGTACACCATATCATGGGATTTTTTCTTTCGGTTATCAGAATTTTTTGATTTTTTTATAAATTTAGATTACGTATTAACGATTTTTCTTTTCGACTGCTACTGCCCGACCAGAGAGCTGCGGTTCTTTTTTATAGAGGTGGAATAATGTGACTGAAGTTAGATTTGGATTTCGATTCGGATTTGCGAATATTACAGTGGACCAGTTCGTTATTTACCTTAATTTAAAAAACGTATTCCTGCGGAAATGCTGGGAAAGCACGCAACGAAATATTGTAAGGGAACTCCAAAAAACCATATGCAATGCTGCTATACAGAAAATAACCCCATTTCCCTTCGCATCACCCCAAAAGATTAATTAATTTAATTACTATTTCGCAATCTCAAAAAATCTAACGTTGTCCCAGAGATTTAACCAGACCATTGAAAAACCACTTAGGAGGGCTTCAAAATGATGTATTGCTCAACCATGTAGAAACCGTCGGTAAGACATTAAACTAGAACCATTAATAAAATATCCAAAAAATCTTTATATTTATTTGGCAATCTCAAAAAAATCTCATGTTATCACAGATATTGAATTAGAGCATTGAAGAGCCACTTCAAAATGAGGTATTACTCAACCACCTTGAAACCGTAGAGAAGATATAAAACTACCCCCAATAATGGTATACCCTAAAAATGGTTTTATTTATTTCGGAATCTCAAAAAAACTTCACCTGGGATGACGTCAAATTTTTTTGGATATAAAACGAACATTTAGTTATTTCATTATTGGGGCTACTTTTATATCTTCCCGACCGTTTCGAGGTGGTTGAGTAATGCATCTTTTGAAGCTCTCTAATTCAGTGGTCGCAAACCTCTTCAATGTGTTGAGCAACTTTGTTAATTTTGGAATAAACAGTGGAGTTGTTATGTTTAATATTATTTTTGAAGCTTCTCCGATTTTTGCAGTTTGTATTTTTAAAATTAAAATCATTTTGAGAGTTACTAGAATTGCCTCCGCGAACTTGCTAACGTTTCGCCAATCATCCTGTTGGCTTCTTCAGAGCTTCACTTAAACTGAACAGTTAGACTCAGCAAAAACCGACGGAGGAGGAATCCAGAAGTTTTATAAAAAGTATTACACTAGGCCTGTAGAAGTTTCTTAGAAAAATTAGCAAGCCTGTATGGGGAGAACATCAAGAGCAAAAGCAGGGTTTTTGAAGTTACCACAAAGAACAACTCTTAGGGTCGCAAAAGGAAAAAATGATTTGGCAAAGAATGACAATATGCTACATATGGTGGTAGTAGTATATATTTAAGCAAGACGGCTGTTGGATAATATGCCGACCTCTATTAAAAATATTTGGCACAAAAAAAAAACGATTGCCGACAGTTTCTTTACAATAATAGCGGAGAATACCTTTACTCTGAACTGAGACTTAACAAGGAAAATGAACCAGCCCATTGATAGTTGGTAGATTGCATGGTATTCGCAAGATATTCCTATAGACGGCAAGTGCCGAATGACGAGGGGCACACTGGCCAAGCCTTCCTAACTTAACTAACTAATTAACTAATCAAAACTAACGATACGACAAACCTTGGTTGGAGGCCTTAAAGGCAAAAGCACCCTAAAAAGGCAAGAGAGAAAAAGAAACCTTACAATAGCAAATAGTACGCAAATACGTACTCATAAATAGAGACAGAAATAACAATAATAAAAATAATAATAATTTTCAAGCTATGCAGAGCTCAACAGAAGAACATGCGGCAACAACTACTTACAGATGAAGATTCCTTGATGAAAATGGCAGACCGAAGATAAACACAATTGAACTTGCAACACCATGATCTTGAGTTTTCAATTCAAGCTTTAGGCTGGAGATCGAGGACAGATGTGGGAAATGTGGAGAGGTGGGGGAATCTATAGATCATATTATCCCAGAAAACTGACGTCACAATCAAGTTACTAAAATCATCCACCAACAGCTAGCTCTCAAGAATGATCTACTTCAGACATGCCCATCCTTATCAAAATATCGGCCCCAAACAGTTCTATAAACAGATAGAGTTGTACTGTACTGGAAGAGGACTATATATACAGAAGGAGCAGTGGAAAACAACCGGAGTTGGTCATCATTGACAAGTAGAATCATAATTGACATAGCTGTGCCACTATCGCATAAGGTCGGCAGAGAAAATCACTAAATACGAAAACTTGGCAGAGGAACTCAAGAACATCTAATGTAAGGACTGTTCCACTGCTGAGATCGGCTGAAGGGATTATTTCGACTCTTCGAAATAATCCCTTCAGGAAATCTTTAGGTAATTATAGTATACCAACATATCATAGGATGCGCACAGAAGGCAGTTATACTTCAGATGTGCCATAAGTTCCTGAACGGAACATAAGTGAAAACAACTGAATCTTTTCATCAGGTTGCCTCAGCCTAGTCATCAGGCTAAAGGAATGCTGGCTAAAGCTGAGTTAACTTTACATAATTAATTGATAATAAAAACAATAACAATAATAATAATAAAATTAATAATAATAATAATAATAATAATGTAATAGTAATGCATACGCGGAATTACGAAAGACATCTTGAAGACACCGGTGGAGGATGTGAAACATGATAGCATAATTGTTCCAGAAGAAACGGAGAATCGACTGCGTAATTAACTAACTTGTAGAGAAATGAAACAGATTGCAAGTCTAATATATTTCAGTTACCATCTCTGCACACTCTCAATGAACTGAGCGCGGCCGTTATATATTAGCTGGGCTACAGAAATGCCTGCAAAATTTGCATTGCACTGGAAACTATTTTAGTAATGTGAGGTACAAAAGAGAACGTCTGGTCAAATAAAATCCCCAGATCCTTTACAGTGGCAAGTCTAGTAAGGATAGTACCGTCTATGTTGCAACTAAAGACTAAAGGATTTTCTGTGCGGTCGTGAGAAACCACATTACACTTGCTGCAATTTATTTTTAGTACACCACTGACTGACAATATTGATGTTGTCGAGTCATGCAGTCCGTGCCTGTAGCAGATGATGAAAGATTTGAGATCGTCTATAAATATATTGAACAGAAGAGGTCCAAGGTTAGAACCCTGAGGCACACCAGAAGTTGGAACAAAAGGAACTGACCTAAAACCCTCAATTTCAACGACGATTCATCAGATAGGACTTCAACCCTGAAATCAGCGAATCGGTGAAACCAAATTTTTGAGACGCTTTTTCAATCAGTAAGTGATGATCTATCTGGTCAAATGCTTTGAGGAAGTCAGTGTATATAACGTCAACTTGACCTTGCTTGTTTAGAGAGATATAAGAAGACACGATTTATTCGCATAAAAGCCATGTTGTTGCTTAGACACTTTACTTCTAATCTGAGGAAAAATAAATTTATATAATATAATCTCCAATATTTTCGAAAAATTACAGAAAATCGAAATAGGTTGGTAATTTTCAACTGCGGAAGCATTACCTTTTGTGAGAATAGGATAAACTTTGGCAATTTTCCATGGATGAACACCCGTTTTAAGTGCCAGGTCAGACATGTGACATCAAGGAGTACACAGTGCGTGGGAACAATCTCTCATGATAAAGAGGTGGGGGTACTATAAATACTCACCTGCCTCTGTTCTAGAAAACGAACAAATAATCATGTACTAGGCTATTTCAATCAAAACAGATGGGCATGACCAACACCATAAGCCAGATATTGTAATTTTAAACAAAAAAAGCAAAACAGGATTGATGCTGGATATTGCAGTGTCCTTGGCATATAATCTAGTAAAAACGGAATAGAAAAAGCTTTCGAAATATCTACTAATTGAACTCAAAAGAAATTAGATTAAGGAGGCTGCTTTACCGTATGGCATGTATGCAAAAAGCAATTATCCTAAACACCTGCCGAATAGTAAGGAAGTTTCAGCCATTGGAATAAGATGAATTTATTCAATTCAATCAATTAATGACTGAATAATATTAATAATAATTTATCAACTGACTGGCTATTTTTTAAATATAGAAATAGGTCTCGAGTCGATGCTTTTTCATAACACGTGATACGCCCATGTGCTCTGGAGATGGTGAATGGCAGCACTTCGAATCCATATAACGAAGTAGAAATCTTTCCTAAGACGTGTACCAAACTAACCAAAACTATCCAACATACCGGAACTTTGCAGGAACCGAGAGAGCTCAAATCATGTTTCGTGGATGAGTCAGCGACTCCAGTTTCACCTTTCTCAATTCCGCAGTGCGCCACGAAGGACGGTGGGTCGGAATACATTACACTCAACAGTTTTGTAAGATTTCCAGATATAGCGTTTTATCGGACCACATTATCCTCATTATTTATTAAAAGTGTAAACAATGAGGGGACACTTCATACGGAACCGTCCAAGGTCCAAGGTCCAAGGTGAGTGCGTCAATATAATATAAAAATGTTACTTTATAAATTAAGTAAAAAAAACACAATAAATAGTACTACAAACTGATAATAAAATCATGAAAATATGAAAAAAACTTTTCCAACATTTCCGCTTTTTAAGGAATTTTGTGCTGGTAAGTGTATATAATTGCTGTTGGCTGCTAGCTACTTGTTTATACACAGCCCAAGAGAAACACGCCAAAGAAAAATTTTCCCGGCGACGAAAGTAATTCGTTTTAATAGGATTCGTTTAATAGGATGATAATATTACCATAATAATATTATCTATCATATGTAGTAATACCTAGCCACGTAACTACTTCCACTCAACTAGCAAAGCAGTACTTAGGGTTCTACACGGGCAAAAATTGCAATTGTGGAAGCAAACTAAGAATCAGTAGGACAAAATGATTTCCTCAAATTCGTACTGAACGAATATACTTACAGTATTCGACAGTCACTTGTTAATATCAACTGAACTCAAAAAAGGCCGGACAGTATGTACCACTTTTCTAGCATTGCCATAGTTGCTGGCTGCAATTCACAGTCTTACAGAGGCGAATACACTGTTTTATCCCGGTGCGATCTATCGAAAGCCTTTGATCCCGTTCTTTCTGATCTGTTGATAATAAAACTATTTAGATATAGTTTAAGGGGAGCCTAGTCCAAAGCTACAAAAATAAGTTCAGAAGTTTTTCAAGATTCTGTTTCGGTAAGTCACTATTTCTTCTTTTTAGTCATCCCGGGATTTACCGTTCGGCTCTGGGTGCAATGGGATGATTTTGCAACACGTGTGCTAAACTTAATTGCGGTTTTCTACACTTGCTGCATAATATAGTATTAAGTGTAAAATCACGTTGTCGCCCTTTCTTTCGTGAACACATATGCCTTTGCCATGCATCTGTTTGCTTTGTTCGCTAATAGACATTTGTGTTATTAAACATAACCTAACATCCAACGCAAATCTTCGTAGCTACAGCTTTAAAAATTGCAATATTGAAATTCTAAAATATAAATTATCTAAGTGTAAAATCAATTGGAGACAAAATTAAGAGGCTGAATCTTCAAACGTTTAATAACCTCAAAAACTTCATCTTCTGGGTCACTATTACTACAGTGTAGAAGAATATCATTTAAGATGCGATTTTAGGTCGTAATAAACTTTTGATTACTATATAGCAAACTAAAATAAAAATTTTAAAATGGAAATAAAAATTGGAAACGATTCACCAATGGAGTGCAGACACAAACCATGAAGTTCGGGTTATGAATTTTACATTCTATTTACTTGAGTAAAAACTAACTCTAAATAAAACATATTCTGCCTCAGCAACTATTAAATAAGAGTAAATATATTCAAGAAAAATCTAGGACAAATGGTTCAATGGATTGCCCACGGGAAACGAAAAACTTTGTATCGTATACTAAAAGATCCGAATCCAAATAAATCACAATATACCAATATCGTAGTATTTTATTAAAAAAAATGAGCAATATCCTATACCTCCGCTACTGGAATAAATTGAAATAAAAAGGCTTCAAGTTGTGGACAACACTTGTGTAAAACAATTAACAACATTCACAATTCACACACAATTCATATTTAAGAACATTCCAAAAAGAAGGTCTAACACCATTCAACTAGTTTGAAAAGTACTAACTAACAAAATATATATAGAGCAATTAAAATGAAATGGAAACCTATTTTATGATAATGTTTCAGCTTTTCTGATAAGGTTGAAAATTGCCTATATTTGTAGAAATTCGAACAATTTAAATACTTGACATAGCTACATAATATCAAGAGTGATCATAAAGAAGAACTTTTTCCAGTTCTTTGATATTTTATCTAATTTATTATTGAAAAGTCGAAACTAATCGAGGAAAAAGGAAGGAATGACAGAATCAGCAAGATATATTGTCCGACTTAATGCAAATGAGCGCTGGTAATCACTAAAATATTCGCTTGTAGGATAAACGTACCAATTCGTGCAATTCCAATTTGCGAGGCCGCAACATTTTTTTTTATCTCGTCGTAGATAGGTACATCGCACACCTGCAATGTACACGTGATAGTGGATTATTTTAACTAACAATAAATTCCGGCGGGCCTCGGCAGTTATGCCGTTTGTTATGTGTTTGTAATTTCAACGAAAATGTGTTAAAAATGAGTTAAATATGCATACAAATTTCTTTCATATTAAAGCTCAAAAAAAACCATAAACTGAATAGAATTAATTGGTAGATGGTGATTAGAAACTTTTTTTTATTTCGAATACCGTTTTAGTTATTTTGAATGTCAATTTATCAATAATCTCGCCTACTTTTCAATTTTTTTTAAAGACACGGAATATATGAGAGGAATAATGCAAGAGTACAGTGCAAACGTTCTTTCTTCTTCAAAAAGTAAAACATTATTTGATATTGTTCCTTATACAGCCCTTTGAATTACCTGTGCCAAAGCCAAAATATCTACATATTTCAATTCAACTAATGAAAATTCTGAATAATCGTCGGAGTTTCTTTACGGGTTCGCTGCATATTCATATCATATTTTAGATATCTTACTTTACCAATTTCAAAAAGATTTTAACTAGAATTCGGAAAACGTGAACGCCGCAAGAATTATGGGGCAAATCAGAAATTACCAATTTTTCTAGTATTTACTTTACTGCTTACCATACCACTATCTGTAAAGGCCGAGAGATGGGCCATTTAATATGCGCATGCACGGTAATTTCATATTTCCGTTAAATGTAACATTTTTAAGGCAGTATTTTCTCGAAATATGCCCAGATCTCGTTGAATCTTGTATGTAAAGCGAGTTAAGTGTGTGATAATTGCTGCTTAGAAAAAGACCGTGCAAAGTGCAGGTTAGCGGGTAAAATTTACAGACATGCGCGAGAGATAAGTCCCACCTAAACGAAAATATCAGCCGCTCGAGGAACATCAGTTTTTACCGAACAAGGGTATATCATCTAATGGCTATATTCCGTACAACTTACTACCTACCATGTATTTTAAAAAAATTTGGATAGTATACTAAAAAATTTTGAGATTGGTTTTGAAGCTACCCACCAATAACGAAAATGTTTTCAATCGAAATAAAAGATAATATACACCTTAAAATCATATGAAGCACATCTTCTGTCCTGACCCCGTATACTCGTTCTGATTCTGAAAAGGTCCTTATCGGACAATTATAAGTTTTTAGATAAGTTATTAAATGGAAAAGATATGCCTTAAAATACAACTAGAAGACTTTTATTTTACGCCATATTTGGTTTCACAAAAGAATACTACCATATTGGGCAAACCACATCCTTCGAAATTTACAGAAAAGTGAGCAGCATCGCAATTCCGTCGAAAATGTGCATTGCCGCATTTCTAAAGTCTTTTCCAACTGAAAACTGTTGACATAATAGGGGAGAAAGATAGGAATAGCATCGTTTTCACACGTTGACATCGCCGCCCTTTGCTCCGATCAGCAACTTTCGTCTGATTTACTAATAATGGCTCAACAACTTCCAAATGAGATTTTTTAAATTTCCTTGCCGAGGCGCACGATTTTGGCGTAAATTGCTCCCGGAACTTTTGACAAACTACGTGACGAATTCGCATTACTTAACTATGGCGAACTTTTTAGTGTTATGTACACTTTGGCCTCGGGAAATCGAGAAACTCGGCAAAATTGTTTCAAATAATTCGCGATAAATATGGAACTATTTCGCTGCAAGCAACTGGGACCCTAAAGGAAAATAAATGTTTTTTCTATATTTCGGAGTTACGTTTAAAAAGAAACAGCATAATTTTTTTTAAGTATATATTTTTATGTAAAAAACCCGGATAATCAAAATAATAATACTCACAACAAATTCACTTCAAATTCTGAATTTTCAGATTCTTCAAAGTTTTCTTCAGATTCGGAGTTGTGTATATCAGGTAGATTAATTTATTCATTCTGAGCTTCTTCAGTTCTACTTTCACTAATTCCCATGACCAGGTTGGTTAGTTTTGTTTAGGAAGGCCCTCAAATCAACCATATCTCATATCACGAAGTAGTTCAACAGGCTCATTAACAACACTGTTGATATCATCGGGGTTAGCAGGTTTTAGTAAACGTCCCAATACTTCTTCAGGATTGAATGGTAAAATACATTTTTCCAGCTTAACAAAATTTCTCACTATGTGCTTTTGAGTGGCGCAAAAAAAGCCACTAATGACTGAATCAGATGAGTCGAGTTAGACGCAAAACGCCATTTCAACAGTATAATCTTTCACTAATGGGATAAGTTGCCCGCTAGAAAAACTTTTTTACCTTTTTTTTTACAAAATGGAATGACAACTGTTTTAACTCAGTTAATAAAGCAATGGGTATCGAACCATCATGACTTTGTGCTGGTATGTTTTGTTCCTTTTGTTCCTCCTGTCGTCCAAGTGTCAATAACCCACAATTAGGGGTAAAGTTTGCCCATCTCCTGATTCAGCAAACATGATTGATGTAGCAGTTTTTTGACTGATGTAGCATCTTTGGATACCGTTTAACAATGGCCTTTTTGCGACCAAGGTCATCAGATAATTTGAACTCATCGTAGTTGATAATAGAAGATTCTACGTTTTCTAGTCCTCAATTATATTTCTCGTTACATTAGCTCGTTACATTAGCGTTATATTTGTCTGCTGCGTTTCGATAACTAAAATTATTATATTTTATTTCATTCCCTGCTTGTCTAACTGCATCTGGGCACGGTTTTTCTTTAATTTCCGTCCACTACGCCGATAATTTCGAGGCATATTTCTAGTTACCCCGCCTTCTGGTTGTGTTTCTTTTAGCCCCACTTAACCTAAAAAATGACAATTTAATTTAGGCCAAGTTTTGCCACACGCAGAAAGACAAAATTACAAATTACAAATACGTGATAATAATTTACCTTGTTACCTAACAGAAGATGTCTCATTTTTACATCACCGGTCAACTTGATGAAATT